TTTATTCGTTTATTCTTTTATTTATTTATTTGTTTGTGTTTGTTTGCTTATTTTTTAAAATTCATTTATTTACTGATTTATTCATTGATTAATTAATGCATTTATTGATTTTCTAATTAATTCATTTTTGTTATTTGGGTGGGGTTGTAGTTGTGTTTTCATGGTGTTCACTTCGTCTGATTTTTCAAGAGTGTGTTGGACGAACGACGGTCGTGTTATTTCTACGCCCCGTCGATAGTTGGAAAAGACCGACTGAATACCTTTACACGTTTACAGTAAATACCCTTACACATTTATAGACTAAATACCCGTACACATTGTACAGACTAAATACCCGTACACATTGCACAGACTAAATACCCGTACACATTGCACAGACTAAATACCCGTATACATTGCACAGACTAAATACCCGTACACATGCACAAATAACTACAGCATATATCGCTTTTGGTGGAATACAGGCAGATTTGTATGAATGGAAGACGTAGCTAAAAAATCGACGCAAGCCTAATTAAGAAGCACAGTTCAAGAAATACATTTACATGTATTTGATGACTTGGCGTGGGTCTAATGTGCAGGCTTAGTTTAAAACAAAATCTTCCTCAATCAGTTTCTGTGGGTGGTTGGCGGGTGCTCTGGCGTTTTGTGTTTTGCTTCTTCTTTCCTATCAAACATCTATCGCCTTTATCTCCCCTCCTTCTTTTTCGTGTTTGTTACTCTCTTGTGACTTGTGACACCTCTAATCTTCGGCACTTATATGACCATGTTGTGTTGCAAGTGCCGTAAAACTCTTACTAAAACTAAACAGTTTCTGAATTCCTTTTATTTTTTGTCTTTTTGTTTTTTGAATGGGGTATGTGCATGCTCTGTTAAGAGATATATTTGACATATCTGAAGTTTTATACATACTTACTTACTACCCGTTACGCCATCTGGCCTTTAGGGCAGCAGCAAAGGATCTCCAGCTCTGTTTGTTGTGGGCCATCTTATGTACATACTAATGTACTGGATATTGGTTGTATTTTTACCAGTCGTCTATAGAAGTTCCTTAAACCTCGAATTTTTGGGGTCAAATCTCAATATAAGTTCCTTTGGTATAACGTGTATTGGGCTCTACAGCGTTGAATTTCTGACTTTCTCTCGGGAAAGGTTATACATGTAGTGTGTATAACGGAGCAACACAGTGAAAGGCAATATATGATTAGAATGATTAGCTATGTTCACGGCGCGTGCGCACACACACTCTC